TTTTTTTGAAAAAGATTTTTTGCTAGCTAATATATTTGTGCTTTTTGAATGTGGGTGGGTGAATATATGTCATGTTTTTGCCAGTATTTTTCACTTCTGCTTGAACACTTCCGGCTACGCATTCAACGGGCCAGTTCCGCTTTTTACTGATCCAATTATCTTGTTTTTCTTGCATGCTTGTTTTTTTTCATTCTTTTTTCCCTCTCTTACTTTTTTGTTTTGTTGATTCTATACAAAGTGTAAATTGCTGAACGAAAACAAAAAGAATTATTAGGCTGATTATCAATGTTGAAATTGGTATTGTTGGTACTCAGATGTTTTTCGTTAGCATAATGACTTGTATATGTAAATATAGTGTATAATCACTTCTGCATATTATTTAAAAACTAACAGAAAAAGGTATTTCAACTTTAAAAAGACAATTTTGATTTTTGTTGTTTTTGATTCTTCTTGTTCTAGGTAGATCACATGTTATTTGCCTGTTTTATAGAGGAATTAAAACGGGATAAAGGAAAAGTGTAAAAATGAATATTATTTTAAACTTGCACAACGGTGCCACATCCCTGTTGTTTTTCACTCATAATTTGTATGCAAACCATCTCCAGTATCCACGAAGTTCATACACAACATTTGTTACACTGATATCACTTTTTATTTTTTTCGAAAGAACAACACTTAATTTCTTCTTCATTTTTTCTTTTCTTTTCATTTGTAGGCCCTAATTAATACACTGAATACATCGTTAAAACTTCCTACAATGATGAATACGAAAAGAGAATTAAATTTTTAAACCGATTTTACGGAAGCGAAACGAAAAGCTTGCTGGTATTCGTGAAAGTTTCGCGAATTATTCATCAAGTCTTCAAACTGAATGTTCAAATCATTTGGCGTATGGAAATGACATACGTACCAATCTTACACGATCTCTGAACTGTAAATTTTTTCTAGTGTACAGAGTGGGAGGCCCGTACAGAGTCAACAGAGTGTAGTTTGTTCCGGTTGTTTAGTGCGAACTGTTCTAGCAACAGATTCCAAAAGTATCATTACATAAAGAAGGAGAGGAAAACAAGGCAGGGGGTAGAAGCTGAAAATTTGATTATTGATCACTGTTAAACCCCAGCTGAGTATTAGGAAAATACAAGAAACTGAGAGGATAGTAAGTTTCTTAAGCCTTAAATCACGAGGTAGGAACTAGGGTTGTATATACAAGCGGAAAAGCTGAGACGTTCTTTTACCGCCGAATAGGGAGGGAAGCTTTTCCAAAAGTCGTATGCCATTATTGGGGAATAAAAAGCAGAAGAAATGGGGGGAGGAAAAAACATGATGTTTTCAGCTTCACAATTTCAATCCGTTCTTAATGTTCTAGAAAACAGGAGCGCCATTGAAATGTTAAGTAATCACAGAAGTGGATTCACGCAAGTCCTTGATCACGTTTATACCCGCTTACCACTCTGTACCGGAGTTTTAAAGAGGGTAACTTTTGTGGAGAAGAATTTTTTGATCAGACTTTTGAAAAACAATTATAGTTTGCTTTTTTTCTTTTCAAACTTTCGTCCTCGTCTCCTTCTGGATGCGGAAGATCCATATCACTATTTTCAAACAGTTAACAAGTTACGACCTAAAAAACCGCATTCACAGTGTTATTGCATCCAATATTCACTCATTCCTAACCTTAACACTTCACAGATTCATTATTTATAATTTTTCCAGGTGCTTTATTTTATGTCCTGTTCTCTAAAAAGATGTACAAGTCGTTTAATTCAATACGGCACCGTTTAAGCTTGTTCTGCTCCTCACGTTGTGTAGCAAGTTCAAAGTATTTCTGGTAATGAGTTTTGCACTTCTACCGTCACGTATCCTGACTTGACTATACGAGAAAATTTCATGTAGAATTTTATCACAAACACGATGGAAATTTCGACTATACACTCAAGCTTCAAAGTGTTGATTGCAAAGGAAAAAATCCGCCTTTTTAAGGTTACTGGTAATTTATAACTTGGCTTCAAAAGACTACTAGTGCATTCAATGCTTAAACTACAATTGGGTAACAAATCTTGTCTTATCCATCTAGCAGTAATGGCAAAAATTTTTAATTTTGAAAGATACACTCACGTGAACCAAAAAAAAAAGAATCTCTAAAACCAGTTGCATGAAAACTTGCTTGACGTCCTGCATGGTGCGGTAAAAAATTAGGTGGGATGCTCCCACACTGTGATAAATGACTTGTACATTTATTTGTGGAACAGAGCAAAAGTAAAACGTCATTGAATCTGAGTTTTTTATTCAGCTGTTTTTCATGGCTTGATCTCTCTATATTTAAATGATTATATAGTTATTATAGTTATTCAAAAGTCTTAAATTTTATACGGCTTTTTAAACCAAAAAGCTAAACTTCAATAATTTATCAATTCTCTTTTGTCAAATTAAATACTTCAAAAATGTGATATAATGGTATCTGCTTTTTAAATTATTTTTAAAACTCAAAGTTTTTTGAAAGGCAAAAGAAAAAAAAATGAAAAATAAAAAATGAAGAAAGCCAGTTTTTCAGAAAAATGCTAAACATCGCGGTGCCGAGCGAACGCTCAATGTCACAAATATATTCAGCTGCTATTAGTAAACCCACTTTTTTGGAGTTGTTTTTCGTTAGACGGCAAAAAAAACTGGCTTTTTTCCAGTGCAGCATGCGTTTAATTTTTATTTCATGGCATCGGTTTGTTTCCATTGCCGTAGTGTTG